AACAAGTCATCCATCAGCAGGGGTGACAGGACACCAGATCACAGTGGCAATGCAGTTTCTTCCAGGTGTTGGAAATACCTGGACCACAGGAGATCCATACATTCCCTGGAGCATCCAAGCCCCTAGGATGGCGATGACTATGAGTGATGTGACTGAGGCACGTGACTGCACATGACTGCTAAGAGCCTGAAAAAGGAGAGGCCCTTGACAGGAGCGTAACATCCATACATTATGACCATATAAATAATACTGCTGAAGGGCCCATCCTTATGTTGTGACTGCATAAATGATACTGCTGAAGGGCCCTTCCATATGTTGTGACACTATAAATGATATTACTGATGGGCCCATCTTTATGTTGTGACAGGGGTGCATCTTACTAGACAGGCCTGTCTATGTGCTGTGACACTGTAAATGATATTACTGATGGGCCTGTCTTTATGTTGCGACAGGCATACATGTTGCTATTGATGGGCCTGTCCATGTGTTGTGATTGTGTAATTGATATTACTGACAGGCCCATCCTTATGTTGGGACAGCATATCTTACTAGATGGGCCTGTCTTTATGTTGCAACAGGCATACATGTTGCTATTGACAGGCCCATCCATGTGTTGTGACTGTGTAATTGATATTGCTGAAAGGCCTGTCTTTATGTTGTGATGTGGGTGCATCTTACTAGACAGGCCTGTCTATGTGTTGTGACACTGTAAATGATATTACTGATGGGCCCAGTCTTTATGTTGTGACAGGCATACACTGTTGCTATTGACAGGCCTGTCCATGTGTTGTGACCGTGTGATTGATATTACTGACAGGCCCATCTATGTGTTGTGACACTGTAAATGATATTACTGACAGGCCTGTCTTTATGTTGTGGCAGGGATGCATCTTACTAGATGGGCCCATCTATGTGTTGTGACACTGTCAATGATATTACTGATGGGCCCATCCTTATGTTGTGACAGGCATACATCTTGCTATGGATGGGCCTGTCTAGATGTTGTGACACCATAAATGATATTACTCCCAGGCCCATTCATATGTTGCCAACTCTGTAATCTATCATAGATGGGCCCCTCTTTATGTTGTGACCCTATAAAGCATATGACAGGCAGGCCTGTCCATATGTTGCAACCTTCTTCATGATACAATAGGCAGGCCCATCCATGTCTTACAGTAGCTTAGCATACTTCCTTGGTCACAGGCCCATCTATATGTTGCAGCATCCTTACCCTCCACAGGCCCTCCCATATGTTGTGGAATTGTGTTTACAGGCCTGTATGTATGTTGCTCTCACTATAGGCCCTCAGGCCTGTCCATGTGTCATGGCTAATCTATTTAGATGGGCCCATCGCAGGGTCTATATAAGTATTGGCATTTTGGCATGCAGGCTACCTATATGTTGTGACTAAATGGACTGCATGGGGTCCCTCCTCTGCAAATTTTTCATCACTACTGGGACAGGAGATGTCTTCATCGAGCTCAAGTTCTTCTGACATTAAGCCCCTCAACTTGGAAACTTGCATTGTTGTGAGCTTCAGCCCCTCACACTGTGCTGCAGGCTCGCATTTATGAAAGTACTGGATATTTGAAATGATACAATGATCTCTTGGTGACACTGTTGAGCAGAATGCATTGAAGGCTTCTTCCCATGTCTTGCTGGGATCTTTCAGATCAATTTGGAGGTTTCTCCATGGCTTTAGTAGCATGAGCATGGATGCATAATAGAATGACTGCTGATCTTCATCATTGCATGATGGGAAATATTGTCCAATGAAGTTAGGGAGGGTATTGTGATGTGGGCTCCACATGATACAATATTTGCTCTTGTATTTTGGATGAGATTTGAGATATCAGACATGTTCATGAAGTGGCCTTCCCCAATGCCATTTTGGACCTCATATTAAATCAGTCTGATCATCTGTCACCGATGCAGCAACATTCTCCCATTGGCATGAACCCTTATCAATGTCTGCCTCATATGTGTTGACAAAAAAAGTCCATGATATTTGACATCAGCAGTGCTTCTCCACAGAGGGTGTAGTCAACAACTTGTGACTTCACAAACAACCTCCTGTTGCCATTTGTGTCCAGGGTCAATGTTTCACTGCCTGTCTGCTTTCACCTTCAGTCAAACTTTATGATGCCTTGACACTTTTACTCACCTCATCCCCATTGTCAACCATGCCAGTAGCTTGTTTCTCTGATGCTTCTGCATCTTCCCTTGCTTCAGTCTTGTTGCTAATCATGTTCCACAAACTGTAAGGTGGTTGTAATTCTCTTATCAAAACAATCTTCTCACCTTGATCCAGGCAACACTCCTCAAAACTACTTGAGAGTTGACATTGATGAAGCTCTGGAAATGCTTCCAACATCGCAGTCACAAATGATTTCCAGTAAATGGGTGCATAATGATGTAGGAAAAGTCCAAGTAGCTGTATAATATGAGCTAGATGGCTTAGATAACAACAATAAAAATGAAGGGAACAAATTGCTCATCCCAAGGGGTTCTGGGCTGTCGAGACTAGAAGGTGGGACCCAGCACTTTGTAGCAGTAGTGATTCATGACATGTGTGGCATGGTCCACAGAATAGTACTGGTGGTATGAGCAGTGCAAGCAGTATATGTAGTTTGTGCATGGCAGTATGTGAGACATGCAGTGTAGACAAAGTGAAAAGGAAACTTGTGGTGACCTTCCAAGTGCCAAAAGGTATCATTTTGTACCTAAGTACAGGGCTTTATAGTCCAGGCAAACCTGGAACCTAAGTAAGACTGAATACAAGTAAGGAAAAGGGTGCATGACAGTGCCTACACATAAGACAGGACAGGCCAGAACAGAGGCCAAGGGTATACTACTAACAAAAGGGGAATGGAGACCATGTTAAAAGAACGAGTCTGAAGGAAGGGAGGTGGCCAAAGCACAGCGGCCATGGGTATAGCTTTGCACTGAGCAGGAGCAAGGGCATGGGAAGGTAGTGTGCAAACAATGGTGGATGCGAAGTGGTCTGGGAATGTAATGATGGCTGCAGAATGGTTGATGATAGGGGCTTATGCATCCAAGGAATGTGGATTCCTTACAATGATGCAAACAGTATGAGTCCTTCCACCCCATGAGATAAGAGACCACCATCAGGGCTGACAGTTCTTGCTTGCACCAGATGAAATAGTAGCTTTTGTTGTTGATTGTGGATTCCATCAGTATATGTGGTCTGTTTGGAATGGTAAGAGAAGCCTTTTGTCATGATTGCTGACAGATTGTAGCTTCGCCCTTGTTTCTTGGTTGAATGAGCCATAATGTAGAAGGAGATATTGGTCATCTCCTTTGAATTGGTAAGTAGTTTTATGTCAGTTATTACAACGAAGCATTGACAGTGATTCCAGGTACCCAGGCATTCATAAATTGATATAGCCATTTCATCCCCCAACACCCATCCTCATCGACAAAGTCATCATCAGCTGTTTCGAATGGTGCATGCCATTTGCAGACCCATTGTCCTGTTTTACCCATGACAAGACACTGGCACATCTCACAAGTATGGTGCTGTTTATTATGGGCTACCTTCCATTCAAGGTCCATGATCTCTGAGTCATAGTTAGGATGATTGGGGATTAGGAGGGTGTGAATATGCAACTTCTGCATCATTCAGGATTTTTTTCAGCTCCTCCACTGACTTGAAACCTGGCATATATGCATGTATGTTTGCCTTGATGAAGTGTTGTATCTGTTGACAGAAAACTTCATCATTCAGTAACTCCTCCATCTGGCCACTGACAGGCATATTCCTGAGCCACACCAACAGGTGTAGGTGGAGACTACCCCTTCCCTGGGACTCAACAAGTCCAAAATAGCCTGTGACCTCTCCAAATATCCCCATGTGGCTATGGACATGTTGCATTGTGGCTTTGATTCCAAATAGTTTGCTAAGTATTGTTTGAATGAGAAAATGGAAGAACTTTGAGGTGGCATATGGATCAAGTGCCATATTTTCTGCACATTTCTCCTTTGATGGCCTTAATTTCTCCTGCAGATCGTCAAGGTTGATATCCTCACCAGCAAAGACCTGTGCAATAGGATCATGTAGGTTGCAAGGGTTGATGGTGATCCATAGTGATGGTGGGTTCAGCATAATTGATATTGACCAAATCTGACTACAGAGTTGAAAGTGAGAGTAGTCTGATCCAACAACATGCATGCCAGTGGCATACACATGTTTTCGCAGTAGCTGGATCAATGGATCAGAGATAGGGACATTCTTCTCTTCAGCTTCCTGCACTTTCTGTAACCTCTCAAGCATGAGAGTTGACAGCAACTGTGCATCCTTATCGAATGTCTTGTGGCTCATTTGTAGATGGGCAGACAATAACACTTGATGACATTGTGTTATTCCAAATGCAACAAAGGAGAATGTTGGATGCCTCTGAAAATGATGATCATGGTAATGTAGTGCCCACCAGATGTGTTCATTGAAATCCACAGTAACTTGTTCTCCCTCTATGCCACCTTCTCCATAGGGAAAAAGCCCAGGAAATGCTCTCACAAAGAAATTGATATGTTTTGCTGTGCACAGCTTGTCTGCAGCATGTGGTCAGCCAAAATCATTAACAGGTTGCTGCCCATGCCAAACAAAATAACCTCCTTCTCTACCCTCTTTCCACAGGTTTGAAAGTCCCCATGTCATCAGCTCACTTGCCATGAGCTTTGACATGTCTGTATCAATACCACCAGTGACTTGTAATGGTATATTGTCTGGTCCTGCTTGACATTGTGAGGTTTTTGTTTTCATCACTGTATGACCATCCATGTACTGACCACCATTGTCAGATTCATTAACAACCACATTGTCTGTAGTATTTGATGGCACTCCTGTCATGGAATTATGAGGTTCTGATGTAGGGCAAGCTTTGGTACTACTGACCTTCATCAGCGTCCTGTGGCACATAACCTGCACATTCTTGTTCAATCATGCCGATGTCACCAGACTGGCATATTATATCTATTACTTCTTCCAGTACATTGTCTTCTGGAAGCTCTGCAAGGTGAGAAGCACTGATCCTGATATCTGTGTAGTATGGATTATTCTCTTTCAACCAAAGCAAGGCATCATGCACAATGCTCCACCTCACTCGAAAGGTTGAGTGAATCCACACCTTTGGCAATTCTCCAAGTCCAATGAAAGTCACAGTTATTAAAGATGCAAGGATTGCAGGTCATCTTGGCATAAGGTCCCCTCGTAACATTGCAGAGATCCCATCCATTGACATGTCACAAGTGCTGACATTGCCATGCATAGCATTTTGCAGACCAGATGCCTGGCAGGTGCCTCCCTGACATTTTGGAAACAGCTTGAAGACAAAGACATGAGGGTACAGATGCACAATCAACAGCTGTTCTGGGAATGTGAGTACTTGGAGTTGCCATGGAATGCACCCAATCCACAGCCCATTTGCCAGGGTGTACTGTGACAGTTTATCACTGGGCTTCCACAATTCATCCAAGCATGCCTGACAGGCAGAAGTGGTGGTATGTGGACCATCAACTTCTACTGCTTCTGGCTGAAGTAGTTGGCCATTGTAGATGTTGTGAGCAGGATGAGGGACTTTAGGAACCAGTTGATGTGAATTTGGTATGTCACTGAGCACCATTTTATGCAGACTCTCATCCATTGCTCCACATTCCCTGGCACAGACACCACATATGCCTGTGGCAAGAGTGGTACTTGAAGTGGCTTTGTAGAATTTGCAGTAACATGCCTTCTGTTCTGTGTCTGCTGGCAGCACTAGGTATTTTGAAGGATCATTTCTGCTGTTTTCATCCACTTGCAGCTCTTCTCCTTCCTCTCCATCATCCAGGTCCAGGCATGGGACTGTCCACCTGGGTTGCATTTCATCCTCCCATCTGCACTTCTGAAGGACACTTTGCCCAGGGATGCCACTGCTTTTCTCCAGAGCTGCTTTACAAAGGAATTTGACTTGGTCTTGTGGGGCACAATTCACTACTTTTTCCAGTAGTAGTTCTTTCTTCTGTTGTTCTTTGCAGGAGAAGGTAAGTATGCCCCTCAATCAGGCAGTGATTTCCTTTACACTGAGAGACACAAGTTTGTCAGTGCATGGTTTTGTGCTCATCGCTCTCCTGTCAGGTCAGACAATCAATGCATGTCTGGATGCCAACTTTGTGCTAACCATGTGTGGACATTCAAACATATACATGGCAAGTGTGCCCTTCCAAAAACATCAATACCCTGATGCATTTTGATTTCTGTGCACAGACCATCTCCAAAAGTTTAAAATCCTCTCACTCTCTCCCACCATTCCCTCAGTACCATATTCTCTCTCACCAATTCTGTCCTTTAAATCCACACTCTACTCTCTTGTCTACTATGCCAGGCAAACCCACAAAACCCAACACTCCCACCCATTTCATTCAAGCCCATCAACAACTCATTGAGACAGGATTATACCTTGGTGACATGTCCTTCCAGGACAGTGTCCACTGGTTATGCAATGGTTGTGCAGACTGACTTGTGATCAAACCAGCTGAACCTCAGGGTGGTGCCAGAAAGTGTTTACCTTCTCCCCCACCTGATGACAGCTCCTTCGACTTGGCTCCCATCTCCACCATTGTCCAGATCGACAGCAATGACTACTGGCTTACAGCAGATGCCAACTATCATGGACCCAGTGAAATCTGGCCAGACTTTGCCATTATCAAGCCATCTTGCATTGTTCAAATGCCCAACATCATGCCATTTACTGCTGATTGGGCCAATGTGATGGACAACCTCTGTTGGCTGCAAGATGCTATTGCAACACCTGAGTTTACTACGAAGCAGGGACTTTTCACTACAGCTGGTCCATGTGGCCCTCGCTTCAGATTGCATCATGTCTTATTCAAGGTAATCTTTAACATCCAATTCTAAATTATTCTTCGACTCACAACATCTAAGGCTCTAGATGCTGATGACCTTGCCATGCAGGATGGTGCTGGTTCAGGAGTGCAGTCTGACAAGGACGAGACCAATGGTATGTGGCTTCTAGTACCCTCTATGTACCTTTCTCATGCCTATGCAGATCTTGATCCTATTTTTTCTATCGAAAACTGGCCTACCTTCAGTGATGCTGCCAGAGGAGGGTTGGACAGCCTCAGGCAGATGCATTGGGTCATTCCTATCCCTGCATATGACCTTGAAGAGAAGTTGATTGACCCACACTTCTACCACCATTATCTGGAAGGGGCTGTGGTTGAACTGCATTTCAACCTTTCTCACTGGTCTATCTCAAGGCAGGGCATCCCAGGTAAAGATGTTTACACAGCAGATATAGTCATGATGCATGTTTTAGTACCTCCTTGTGCATCTGCCACACCCCATATACCACTGAAGAGAAAGGTGTCAGCATACATTCACCCAGATTCCTCTCCTACTAAGCACCCGAAAGTTTGATTGACTACAGTACAGATGTGGTCTATTTTACAGCCATTTGGTCTTGTATTCACCTTTTCCCTACCTTTTCATATAGCTTTCATTGAGATTTGATTTACTACAGTATAGATGTGGTCTATTTTACAACCATTTGGTCTCGTACTCACCTTCCTTTGCCCCCCCTTTCCTTAAACCTAACAACTGCCAAAATCCATACATACTTGTCACTAGTTAGTCCCCAATTTAATAGTTGCATACTTCCATCCTTGAATCTCAGAGGACAGACAGCCTTGACTTGCTACCTGTTGCATTGTCGCATCCTGCAAGTATCAAGCAAGGTTTGCGCCGACGCAGTCGGCACTTCCCGAGTATTAACCTTGCCAGGGTACGAGGGCAGACTATGAAGCCGTTCCTGGTTTTGTGAGAGTTCAGTGGCTAATGATTTAATGGGCCGACCTTCTGTAAACGAGTGTAAGACACCTCAGATAACAGTGCACCTTGAAAGAGAGAAGACAGGGGACCCAAGGTTCACCGACGTGATTAAGGTCACGTGCCAGCGTGTCACTCCATTGCCAGCGCGTATCGACGCGTTTTAAATCGTTTGGCCCTTCAATCACTACCATGACCACCGCGTGTGCAGATGGCGACCACGAAGAATACCAATACCTGAATCTCGTTCGACGCGTCATCGAGAGCGGGGAGTCTCGAGACGACAGAACAGGGACTGGTACACTGTCCATCTTTGCTCCACCCTCGCTGCGCTTCTCCCTCAAAGACGGGACATTTCCGCTTCTTACTACCAAGAAAATATTTATGAAGGGTATTGCTGAGGAACTGCTGTGGTTCATACGCGGGGACACGGATGCGAAGGTTCTCGACGCCAAGGGCGTCAAGATATGGAACGGGAATGGTTCGAAGGAGTTCCTCGAGAAGCGTGGTCTTGGTCATAGAGAGGAGGGTGATCTGGGTCCGGTCTATGGATTCCAATGGAGACACTTTGGCGCGGAATATGTAGACTGCAAGACAGATTATGCGGGACAAGGGGTAGATCAACTGCAGGAGTGCATAAAGAAGATCGTCGAGACACCCACGGACCGCCGCATCATTCTCAGTGCTTGGAATCCAGCTGGTGATTATGAACGGTGCCTTCTAAATCCCGCTCAGACTCACACTCTTTGAAAGCTATACCACTAATGGCGTTGCCTCCCTGCCATATGATGTGCCAATTCTACGTCCATATCACCCCCAACGCCTCCTCAAAAAATCGCTTGTCTTGTCTTATGTACCAGCGTTCTGCTGACCTCGGACTGGGCATACCCTTCAACATCGCATCCTATGCTTTGCTCACACACCTAGTCGCACAAGTCACCGATACCGAAGCACAAGAACTGATCATCCAGCTTGGCGATGCGCACGTGTACAAGAACCACGTGGAAGCGCTCGAGAAGCAGCTGGAGCGTCATCCCAAGCCATTCCCAAAACTGGTGTTCAAAAAAGAGCTGAAGTGCTTACGAGACCTTGAGCAGTTGAAGTATAGTGCTAAGGAGGCAGAGAGTGATTTCGTCGTTGAAAATTACCAGTCACATGAAGTGATACCGATGAAGATGAGCGTGTAACAACAGCTACTGTTGTAATTCTTGGATATCCCCCTGTACACGTACTTACTCCGAGCCTTGTACTTTAGATGGGTATTACAGGGATCGTTCTTGTTTCAGAATGCTGTCGTGTATGAGTACTGTGACGGTAGGTTTTGTCTCAATCAGTCTCGAACTATCAGGCCATGAATGGCACCCAGCTATGACGTCGACGAGCATATTCAGTATTGTTCATCTCAACTCCAATGATTCACTGTGTTTGCGTCCTGAATACGATCGGATGTTCCGAGCTTAACAGCTTCGACCTTCTTCATGCCCAATAGCGATTTCGCCCGCCTTTCTGATGTCTACGTATTATTGGTAGCACACTCGGATAATGAAAGAAGACGTTCGATACAACTGAATCCCAGCAAGATTGCGTGCGCTGCAAAGATGACGGTGACCAAATATCTCGGTCTGATAGGATGGATCTGAGCACCCGGGGGAGAAGGTGTTGCAATACTGAAATCCACATTACTTGTTGTTGATTCCCCTATTAGTCCGATAATCTACACCATCCCTACTCGAGAGCCGAGTGCGTGAGTGCTAGAGTTGGCTATCCTGCAGCCGGTCCTTGTGTCAATAATGGCACAGTAGTTTGCAACGTGTCTACAGCATTTCCGCGCGCTTATTGCAACTTTATTTTCAACGTCGGCCTCATCCAGAAAAGTTTGAATTAAACACATACTGATTTCTCCATGGCTCGCCGAATTTTTGGATGCGGAAAGCCGCCTGGCTCTCCATCTAACTCTGTCTCTGTAGGGAGTTCATTTGCCTGCAGGCGATTATAGTCACCGATTCGCCAAGAAACAGCCGCCGGCGCAAGGTGGTGTAACCCCGAATGTTGGAGCGCCCACAGCGCTCGCAAGTTTGAGGCACATCTTCCGTCGGTCGAACCAAGGCTCTATCGCAGCACAGATTGCTGACACAGGCGCCAGTGGGGGTGCTCAGCAGCAACGAGAACAACGCCAGGTGGCCCCAACTCAGGATGTGTGTGATCTACTTCATTCCGTTGTTGCGATGACCTTGAGTAACAATTATGTTGGACAGACTCAAAAGCCAACCCACAACTCAGAAACAGTGCCCGTGCCGGCTGCGCATGATGTCAATACTGTAGTCGGGCCATTCGGCGGCACCAGCGAAGGTGCTATTGACCCCGCCAGTACCACGCTCAGTCCGGCCTCGGTATTCGTAGGCAGCGAAGTCAGCACTGCTCAACAGGCCCTGGATCGCATGACGCCCATACCAGGCACTGGCCAATTAGCCATCGAGCTTGTTGCACAGGCGGATACTGCGGCTGCCAGCATCCAAAACCTCAGCAACACATACCTCCAACCTCTCAAAACATTTAACTCCGTCGTTACTGGTATCGCCAATGTACGCTCATTGCCCTACATTTACACACAAGCTCTGATATAAGGGTGCAGGTTCACCCCTATGCCCAGATTGCGCTGGGAATCTTAACCGCTACTGCTCAGGTACGTGTTCACACCCCGGCTGTATGCGCTGTGCACCTCACACATCCCTCTGTAGTCGCTTCTCAATCAAGCTAACCTGGACAGGGAGGTATTCGGCCTCCTTGATATAGTTAGAACCGTCTATGGATTCCTTCTGGAGGACGATACCATTCGGAACATCGATAGTATGAAGGAAACTTTGGGGAAGATTGCACAGGTGATTAGCGATGCGGCCCGATTCTTCAAGAGTTACTCGGAGACGAAAAATTTCTGTACGTTGGTTACACCTTTTATCGCAAATCTGACTCAAATTCTTCTCAGGGAGGAGACTAGGAAAGAACATAATGTCGGAGACGCAGACCACGACTGATGGTTACGTCAAGTTGCTGAACGACTTGATGCAACAGTATCGCGACCTTGCGGTCCGGGATATTCACACCAACGTGCACCACGTGCTTGAGGACCTGAGCCTAGAAGGCATGGCTTATGCGGGTGGTGCGAGTGTCAATAAGACGAAGGGTTGTTTAGACGGCACCAGAACTGAGATTCTCACGGAGATCGTTAACTGGATCCATAACACTGATGGAGGTACTCCGCGTATTTTCTGGCTGCATGGGCAGGCCGGGAGAGGGAAGTCTGCCATCGCGCATACCATCTCCCTGTGGCTCAAGGATACCGGAGGGTTCGGGTCGTGCTTTTGCTTCGCCCGTGATAGGCAGGCCGAGCGTCGCGAGGAAGATATTTACCACCATTGCACGCGATCTGGCGGACCGCGACCCTGCATTCCGGCGAGCTCTGGCCGATGCAGTTACGAAGGACCATTCCCTCAAGACCACATCTGACGTCACGTTGCAGTGGGAGAAGCTGATATTAGAGCCGTTGTCGAAGGCGTCGAGTACTATCATTGGAAGTATGGTCGTGGTGGTCGACGCGCTCTACGAGAGTGGTGCGGAAGGATCACGGAGCCACATATTGTCTGTGCTGGCATCACGCGCCGATGAGCTCCTTCATAACTTCCGTGTCTTCGTAACATCCCGCCCGTTGCCGGACGTCGAATATGTGTTGAGAGCTGCTCCGCATGTGAAGGCAACCTCCTTGGACGACGTTTGTGCAAGTTGGACAGAACGTGATATCCGTCTGTATGTTGCCAAGCAACTTGGACACCTTCCAAACATCAGGGACGCTGAAGTTCAGAGGATCTCCCAGAAGGCGGATTGCCTATTTGAATGGGCTCGTCTAGCCTGTGATTTCATCAAGACAAACCGAGCTGGAACAACTGTACAGGAATGCTATGATGAGGTGACCACTCTCCAGTCCGAAGAGGGACGATCACTCTTGGATATCACGTACCTGGCAATCCTGGAGAATGCTATCCCAAAATCGAGGAAAGCTCTTCAACGATACCACTCTGTGATGTGCCAAGTTATGATGACACTCGAACCTCTACCTATGGTGGCCTTGAATCATCTGCGCAGACATTTCCCAAACGAGCAGGACCACTACGATGTTGCTGTCATCCTCGAGTTCATGTCCCCAGTACTCGGAGGCATTACAGATCCCTCCGCTCCTGTTCGACCCCTCCATGGGTCCTTATATGACTTCCTGACTGACCATTCACGGGGTGGAGCCTACTTCATTGACACCTCTTGCTCATATAACCTTGCTCTTGCTACATTGCAACTCCTTCATGGTGACCTTAGTTCAACATTTGTGGACTGGAGAGCTCCTACTTGAGCAATGCAGAGGTTGCAGATTTACCAGAGAGAATCAGCAAGAACATTCCACCTCATCTATCATACTCTTGTCAATTCTGGTCCCAACATCTGGAGAAGACTAGATGTGACTTGGTCCTTACAGAGTGGGTGAGGGCCCTTCTGGGAAGTGAAAAAATTCTATTTTGGCTTGAGGTTATGAGTCTGCTGGGTGGAGTGGGGAATGTTGCTGCTGCACTCATCTCTACCAAAAGATGGCTCTTGGTGAGTTTGTCAT